ATAAACACAATTGCATTTTATCGATGGCAATTTGAATGCACAGAGATACCGTGAAGAGATCCTGAGGCCCATTGTTGTGCCATTCGTCCACCGCCATCACCTCATGTGTCAGCATGATAATACACGGCCCCATCTTGCAAGGATCTGTATACAATTCCTAGAAGCTGAAAATGTCCCAGTTCATCCATGGCCTGCATAGTCACCAGACATGTCAACCATTGAGCATGTTAGGGATGCTCTGGATTGATGTGTTTGACAGTGTGTTCCAGTTCTCACCAATATCCAGCAACTATCCAGACAATATCTTGATCAACTCTATGTGAAGGAGATTTGTCGCGCTGCATGAGGCAACTGGTGGTCACACCATATACTGACTGGTTTTCTGATCCAAGCCCCCTACCTATAAAAGGTATCTGTGACCAACAGATGAATATCTGTTTTCCCAGTCATGTAAAATGGATATATTAACTTTACCACTACACCACTTGGACAAATCTAGTATCTTGGACAATCTAGGAAAAATTATGATTGAGTAAAAATAATAATTTCTTATTAAAAAGTGTCTGGGCTCAATTTTAGCAACTGGGATAGTTGAGAGATGCTTGATCAACCATACAAACATTTGAAAGTAAATTCAAGGATAATGGTAAAGTATTCTAATTCCTATAAACATGTAGGCCTAACATGACAAACATCTGTCTGGAATCCATATTTTCATATTGTGTCTGTAAAGGCATACTGCGGACAATGTAGACAATTATTGCATTATAAAGTAGAGAACCCCTTTATGAATCCCAGTATGAAAATGTTAGCAATCACTAACTGTAAGTCGCTCTGGATAAGAGCGTCTGCTAAATGACTTAAATGTAAATGTAATAACCTCACAGACTGACTATCCAGAGCGATAGGATCTTGTGTTTTGTTTTTCTGCACAGTGGGCACAATGGATTCTGTTTCTGGAAAAATGTGTAAGTGAAAATAAAGGTATTCTGTCCTATAATGTTTACAGATCATTAATTAAAGTAATACAGTAACCGCAAACAATACCAAGTATTTTTATAATGCACATCACTGTCCCATTTAGGTAACTAGAATTTCTTAAATGGAGTTGTGGATATCAGGTTGAAAGACAACGCATAAAGCCAAGGTTTTCAATTTACTGCCAGTATAATTCATTGGCTGATCCCTCCTGATCACCCGGATGGAATCATGTGATCCTTCCTTAATCCATAGGAAGTCCCACCCAGTTGACTACTTTATTTTTTTAACCCATTTGACTACTGCAAGATGGTGAAAGTCCTTAAGGGCGCTGGCCATTCTAAAATATGATTTTAGCCACTAGAGCCCTCTATCTATCTCAATGGGGGAAAACTAGTACCCATTGTGGGTGAAGCCAGTCAGGTAATGCGAAGGATTTGACGAGATGGCGGAAACTGAGGTTTTGTTTGAAACTGCTAGTGAGTCGGGTGATGTTAAAAGCGCAGAGAGTGAGAATGAGTGGGTTACAGTGGCGAAGAAGGGAAACAAGAGAAGTACAGTTGTGGTGGAAACTCGGAAACCCCTAGACTCGTTTTTAGTTGGAGTGTTCAAGGTGAAGAAGAGCATCTTGGTGAGTGGGTGGTAGCCCAACAGGTCAGGGTTCACCGCCGCAAACAAGCCCAGACTCAGGGTCTCCCAGACCCCAGAGTGCTCCGTGGTCAGGGCGAAGGTGGCTGTGTAGCGGTGGTGCACCTTATGGAAAGTCCGGTAGAGCCAGGGCACCTTGTGGTGCAACACATGCCACACAAAGTACTGCAGGTCAAAGAGGAGGAGAAAGACTAGCACGTACCAGGCCACATGAAGAGCCCCAGGGGCTTGGGCAGGGAGGACCACTGGTCTCCAGTACCAGTGCAGAATGCTGAGGGGGAAGATGAACACAGTGTGGGTGTGCAGGGAGGTAGCCAGGCAGCTCCATGCCATTACCCAGGTCACCCTGCTCTGTGGCTGGATCTTGTAGTGGTGCACCAGGTCTACTCTGGAGGACAGGGTGTCCAGGCACAGGTAAGGCAGGCAGCAGCTCAGATAGAGTGTCAGGGAGAACAGGACGGGGAACAAAGGAGAGCGGAGAAAGTCTTCTTGTGCTCTTATCCTGTCCCATAAACTCTGTAGCAGGAGAGGAGGACTCCAGTGAGGGCTCCATCTTTACTGATCGAATGGTCTTCAGTCTGCAGGCAGTAGAGGATGCCTCTTAAAGAGGCAGTATTATTACTCTATGTGACGTACCGCATGTCCTTATTAGGCTTTTCCTGCTGGGGAACTCCGTAAGGAGGGAACGGCATGCTTCACTTTCCAAACTATTTAACCCCCTGCGTCTATGAACAACTGTCCTCAAATGAAAATGTAATCTGTTAAAGGGAAATGAAATAATATTTAGGGTGACAAAATGCTTCAGACAATGAAGTAAGTCATTATTCATTAGTTTAACATAGTTGAGAGTAAGTGTTTTCAAATGGTCTACTATGACAACACGTTCCCACCCGCTTGAACCGTAGGCAGGCAGATAGATACTGTTTGATCATGTCATGATCATGGACTATAGTGTCCAGCTGTGTGTATGTTTATTTTAGTTTTGTGTTGTTCTTTTTCAAAAACAGACACTGTAGAGACCCTAGTATTTAGTATTTGTTGCTGGGTAAACCAATATGAGTATGCCTGAGTTTGATTCATGTAGGTACAAGGTCAGGTTCAGGGCACACGGTCAGAGACAGAGTTTTGGTAGAAAGCAATGGGGAATGAAGGGTGACTTGTGTCAGTAGACGTCACTTATTTTTCTTAAAACTGCATTGGTGGTTAAGGGCTTGTAAGTAAGCATTTCACTGTAAGTTCTACACCTGTTGTATTCGGCGCATGTGGAAAATAAGTTGCTCCAGAAATCACAGTATCAAGATTGGCCAACATATTGCCAGTAGGCCTAGTGTACAGTATTTCACAAATTCTTAAAGTTCTATTATACGTGACATTATTGACATACCCACTACACTACACACCTATTGAGCTTCTTGATATTGTACAGTACAGTAATAGTGACGGTGGGTCATTCTCGAACAAACAGCTCTTTTTGAACAGATATTTTTGGTGAATGTCGAATCGCATTTGTGAAAGAGCCGTTTCTTTGTCTCCCTGATTTGTATAGCCTACTGTTACCACTGATTTTTGAGCTGCCGACAACAATCATCTGTAGATAAGTTATAAAAACATTATCTGGAGATGGTAATTACTCACTGCAGAAACTGAGGAGAGCGCATCATTCTGGTCCACACACTGTCCAAAGTTTAGTTGAACAGAGCAAAATGATCCGGCTCACCAAAAAGACTCGGAATGCCCATCACTATACAGTAGGCTACCCCTTCAGTCTTAGTCAAATACAACACTCTTTTCCTTGCATTGGTTCGACAAAAAACAGGATTAGATTTTTGTGTAAGGTGCCACATAGTGTTTTAATAAAGACAATGCATCCCTCCACCTTTACCTTGTGCAGCCCTATTGCTAACACACCTGATTAAACAAATTGCATTCTAAACTGAAAAACATGATTAGTTGATTATTGGAGTTAGGTATGGTAACAGGTGCTGGAGCAAAAGTGTGTCACCAATCAGGCCACCGAGGACTGTAGTTGCCCATCCCTGCATCACCAGTTCAGCGTCCATAAATTCACCCATGTGTCTCTATTTGTAGTCATTGACTGACTGACATGCAGAAGGCTGGAATACAGGCTCAGAGTTTGGCCTGGTTAGGTCAAGTGGTCAGGTAAAACTCCTGGCCTTAAACATAACATTCTCCTTCCATCTGTCTTCTCATTCTGTCTCCTGTGGTGTTATCTGTTCATATTAATAAGAGGGCAATCCAGTGTGAGGAATATGTGAACCCTGGCCTTGTTTATTTACATTCTGTCCCGTACTCTTATCCTGTTTCTCTATCCGGTTATCTCGACTGAGGTATATTGGCTTCTCTCTCCCCTGGCCTAGTCCAGGGTTTCCCTAACTCGGTCCTGGGGCCACCCCACTGGGTGCACATTTTGGTTTTTGCCCTAGCACTACACAGCTGATTCAAATAACCAACTCATCATCAAGCTTTGATTATTTGAATCAGTTGTGAAGTGCTAGGGCAAAAACCAAAACGAATTTGGGAAACCCTGGCCCAGCCAATAACTCTTGTGCGCTCTTAAAGGGGCACCCAGCGATTTAACATTAACGTCACATCTCTCACCATCTTTTTCTCTCTGAAAAGTGAGATGATGAGACATTGGTTTTGATTTCTCAAGAAGAAGAACTTGTATCATAAAATGGTTCAAACATTATAATAAAATGTATCTAAAAAAGCTAAGTCTGGTGGTCCACTATAGGAACCTGGCCTGGGTGCACTATCACCAAGGGGAGCTAAATCACACGTGATGTCATAAAATAAGAAACACTCAATGCCATAAAATATTAAACCTTTACCTCTGATGTACAACACATCAGACCTTGGACCTGAAAGAGCCTGCTCTCTGACCTTAATAAACTTTACCTGTAAGATGTTAAGATGTGATACACAAAACCTACTTTTGCTCAACGTGTTAACTCAACATTTCTGTGACTGTCAATTAAAATGAGTCAGTTAGCAATCCACTAAAGTGTTTCTTACTTTTGCATAGAGTAAAAAGGCTGAATTATGTTTGCATTAATTTCTCAGAAATGTTATCTAAGTATTTATTAAGTAATTTGAATGATGGATTGGTTGGTTGGTTGGTTGATTACAGTTGATTGATCTTTAAATGTAGATGTTATTAGAATGGTGTCTGCAATGTCTATTCACTTTAGTCTCTATTTGCTAGAAACAAAACTATGGCTAGAAACGAAACTTTGATACTTGGTTGTAAAGTGAGGCAGTAAATAGCATGACCAGCTGATTGTAAGATAAGAATGTGGTCCATCCAGTATAAAATCAGGATAAAAGCCAGTGAGGTATCTAATCAGACATTCATTTGCTCTTGAAACTCAGAGACCACAAGATGGCTTTCTCTTGTCCAACTAAGACGTAAACTCTCTCTCTCTCTCTCTCTCTCTCTCTCTCTCTCTCTCTCTCTCTCTCTCTCTCTCTCTCTCTCTCTCTCTCTCTCTCTCTCTCTCTCTCTCTCTCTCTCTCTCTCTCTCTCTCACTCACTCACTCACTCACTCACTCACTCACTCACTCACTCACACACACACACACACACACACATTCCAGGTCTGAAATATCTCCCCTAGGCATTGATAGTTCTAAACTATTTTCGTTGAACTGTTGTCTTTTTTTAACCAGAATGGCTCAGTCCTCCTTGAAAATTAGTCTGCAGGGTTTGGAATGCCACTTCACCTGGAAGTTGGACTACAGCAGATCTAAACTTCAATGCCTCAGAGAAACCATGATAGATATCAGCAGCAGTGAGGGGTTTCAATGTTCCTGGGCAGGTCATCTGTACAACCTCCTGGCTTACCTACACCATGCTCTGGGCTCCACAGAGGACGCTCTTCAATGCCTGAAGAAGGCTGAAGAGGCCATTCGCCAAAGCAGTCCAGACGACGTGGAGCTAAGTCTGGTGGTCCACTATGGGAACCTGGCCTGGGTGCACTATCACCAAGGGGAGCTGACAGAGAGCCAGAACTATGTGGAGAAGGTGGGGAAACTACTGCAGGACAACCCCTGCCCAGGTGTAGTGCGGGGTGAAAGGGCTTGGACTTTTAATAAGTTTGATGTAAGCAAGAGGAAGGAAGCACTAGATTATTTCCAGATGGCCTTAAAAGGGGACCCTGAGAACAAGGTGCTGTGCTGCAGTTACGCCATGGCATTTAATAAATCTGTTGATAGGAAAAACATTACCCCGAAGCTGTGATCTGAGATGTTGGAGCAGCTATGGATTGCTAGAGAATTGGATCCAGAATAGTTGACCATCACAGTGATGTACCTGCAGAGGCTTGCAGAGAGTGGCCAGGTTGAGGATGCACTTAAACTTGCAGAGGAAGTGACAGAGAAGCCTTTGGACAGTTTTGGTGGATTTGGACTCTTACTATAATTTTTCAGAGATCACGTCTCTCATGATTCAAGCATTGACCTGGCAAGAAGGACCATGGAGAGACACCCTGATTCACGCCAGCTGAAGAGGCATCTTGGGAAGTGTTACAAATGGAAGATTTTCTCTCCAGAAGAGGAAAGGAACCCAATGAGGCATATTCTGATTGAAAATGCAGTCAACCTTTATGAAGAGTTGGTTGCACTCTACACAAAATCCCTTGCAAGGTCATGTTAACTGACTTATATTATCTCACAGAAAAAAACATAGAAGATCTCCTAAACTTGTGTTAACCTCAGACTTTACTTTCGGCATTTAACCCAGAACCCTATTCTTTCCCCATTAATTTTCCCCATAGGAATGGCTAAACCAAAGATTATGGATATACTGACAAGATACATGTTTCTCCGCCCTAACAATGGGAGTCGTTGTCCACAAAGCTGCACGGCGAGTTGTCTAGCACCCGCCTATCCTTTCTTTGGATTGGTGGATACATCTCATTATTGTTATACTTTTTTGAATATTTGATGAGGGTTGTTGACGTCAATTGTCTGTATTCAATGGAGAGAGATGTACACGTTGGCAGAATACCTGACCACTGTGACTGACCCAAAATTAAGGAAAGCTTTGACTATGTACAGACTCAGTGAGCATTGCCTTGCTATTGAGAAAGGTCGCCATAGGCAGACCTGGCTCTCAAGAGAAGACAGGCTATGTGCACACTGCCCACAAAATGATGTGGAATTGAATTGAAATTGAGATGCTATTCTACTAGCCTCAGACCATGAATATGCATAGCCATCTCGAGACAACTCTGATATGAAGTGTTTTTTCTCAAAGTTGCTGGGATGTCACGTACACTTGTAACAACTTCAGCATTACGAAACTTCTATTTCATCAAATAAACCTCACGTAGCAAATAAGCCATACATTTTTTTATTGACCAAATTCGACACTCCATACAATTGATATCCATACAAAAACTCATTGCTTGGTGGGCGAAACAAACAAAAAAACGTCACCTGCTGGAGGGAGATAGATTTTCTGCCGAGTTGGGTCTCTCTCTTCCTCTTCTGCTTCCTCTCTGGCTGAACGAACCAGAGGTAACTTATTTCCGGGTTTAAGGACTACAACAAAGATATTCATAACTAACCCAAGACAGGTCTTCTGTGTCGTTTACAGTGGGAGCAAATGAAGCATAGTGGGCAGAACAAGGAAGGAGATGGGCAAAGTCATGCATGAGCTAGCGAGATCCTATTGGCGCATTGTAGCAAGTATTTGCATATTTCTGTTAGGGAATGCCTCCTTTGAAGTGCGCGTGTGCACAATCTCAATTCAACCTTGCCCTCCTTCTAAACAACACATTTTTTTTTTACTTTAGCAAAGTGGCAACTCTATAAAAGTTAGTGCACTGTGTTCGTAAAATATTATAGTTTTGGGAACTTAAAAATGTATTGAGATCAAATGTTTAATTGATGAGAAAATTAGCATAATGCAGGCCCAGTTTCACCAGAGATACTTTAGAGGAGATGGGAAACTCCATTAAACTCTTAATAACGCCAATTGTGTACGTTGCCCACGCATTGTCAAAGGGCCGCACGGTGCATTCTGGGATATTTTGGGACAAGGACTTCCATCTTCTCCCAATACCCGCAAATTGACTTCCTCTCACTGACATATTTGGTGGTGAGAAAACATTCTAAACGGATGCTTCAGCTTCATAGCCCCTGTGACCTGTCTCTTGGTTACCCTTTATGTCTGTAACTACAAGCTGGCGAGCTGTATTGTCCACTCTAACAATGAAAATAAATGTATTCAAAAATAATCGGGAAATGACAACATCAGCTGGGACCTTTCTAGCCAATGAGAGGGCAGTGGCACAAATCAGATATAATGTTTTTTTTCTTCTCTCAAAGTTGGCGGGATGTCACATGACCTACTTAAACTTTTTTTTTGTACATATAACGTGTTGGTCCCATGTTTTATGAGCTGAAATAAAATAGCCCAGAAATTTCGAATATGCACCTAATGTTTTCTTATCTAAAATGTTGTGCACAAATTTGTTTACATCCCTGTAAGTGAGCATATTCTCCTTTGCCAAGATAATCCATCCACCTGATAGGTGTGGCATATCAAGAAACTGATTAAACAGCATCATCATTACACCTAAAAAGGCCACTCTAAAATGTGGAAGCACTACTTAATGAAGAGCCATTTGAGAGCCAAATGAACAGCTCTTTTAGTTGAACAGAGCAAAATGATCCGGCTCACCAAAAATACTTGGAATGCCCATCACTATACAGTAGGCTACCCCTTCAGTCTTAGTCAAATACAACACTCTTTTCCTTGCAATGGTTCGACAAAAAACAGGATTCGATTTTTATGTAAGGTGCCACCTAATGTTTTAATAAAGACAATGCATCCCTCCACCTTCATCTCGTCTTGCCCTATTGCTAACACACATTATTAAACTAATTGCATTCTAAACTGAAGAACATGATTAGTTGATTATTGGAGTTAGGTATGGTAACAGGTGCTGGAGCAAAAGTGTGTCACCAATCAGGCCACGAGGACTGTAGTTGCCCATTGCTGCATCACCAGTTCAGCGTCCATAAATTCACCCATGTGTCTCTATTTGTAGTCATTGATTTACCGACTGACATGCAGAAGGCTGGAATACAGGCTCAGAGTTTGGCCTGGTCAGGTCAAGTGGTCAGGTAAAACTCCTGGCCTTAAACATAACATTCTCCTTCCATCTGTCTTCTCATTCTGTCTCCTGTGGTGTTATCTGTTCATAGTAATAAGAGGGCAATCCAGTGTGAGGAATATGTGAACCCTGGCCTTGTTTATTTACATTCTGTCCCGTACTCTTATCCTGTTTCTCTATCCGGTTATCTCGACTGAGGTATATTGGCTTCTCTCTCACAGCGATTTAACATTAATGTCACATCTCTCACCATCTTTCACCAAAAATGAGATGATGAGACATTGGTTTTGATTTCTCTAGAAGAAGAACTCGTATCATAAAATGTTTCAAACATTGTAATAAAATGTATCTAAAAAAGCTAAGTCTGGTGGTCCACTATAGGAACCTGGCCTGGGTGCACTATCACCAAGGGGAGCTAAACCGCACGTGATGTCATAAAATAAGAAACACTCAATGCCATAAAATAATAAACCTTTACCTCTGATGTACAACACAGCTAGACCTTGGACCTGAAAGAGCCTGCTCTCTGACCTTAATAAACTTTACCTGTAAGATGTTAAGATGTGATACACAAAACCTACTTTTGCTCAACGTGTTAACTCAACATTTCTGTGACTGTCAATTAAAATGGGTCAGTTAGCAATCCACTAAAGTGTTTCTTACTTTTGCATAGAGTAAAAAGGCTGAATTATGTTTGCATTAATTTCTCAGAAATGTTATCTAAATATTTATTAAGTAATTTGGATGATGGATTGGTTGGTTGGTTGATTACAGTTGATTGATCTTTAAATGTAGATGTTATTAGAATGGTGTCTGCAATGTCTATTCACTTTAGTCTCTATTTGCTAGAAACAAAACTATGGCTAGAAACGAAATTTTGATACTTGGTTGTAAAGTGAGGCAGTAAACAGCATGACCAGCTGAGTCTAAGATAAGAATGTGGTCCATACAGTATAATATCAGGATAGAAGCCAGTGAGGTATCTAATCAGACATTAATTTGCTCTTGAAACTCAGAGACCACAAGATGGCTTTCTCTTGTCCAACTAAGACGTAAGCTCTCTCTCTCTCTCTCTCTCTCTCTCTCCTCGCTCTCCAGAGAGAGAGAGAGAGCAGAGAGGAGAGAGGAGAGAGCTCTCTCTCTCTCTCTCTCTCTCTCTCTCTCTCTCTCTCTCTCTCTCTCTCTCTCTCTCTCTCTCTCTCTCTCTCTCTCTCTCTCTCTCTCTCTCAAACACTCACACACACACACACACAAACACACACACACACACACACACACACGACACACACACAAACACACACACAATCCAGGTCTGAAATATCTCCCCTAGGCATTGTTAGTTCTAAACTATTTTGATTGAACTGTTGTCTTTTTTTTAACCAGAATGGCTCAGACCTCCTTGAAAATTAGTCTGCAAGGTTTGGAATGCCACTTCACCTGGAAGTCGGACTACAGCAGATCTAAACTTCAAAGCCTCAGAGAAACCATGATAGATATCAGCAGCAGAGAAGGGGTTCAATGTTCCTGGGCAGGTCATCTGTACAACCTCCTGGCTTACCTACACCATGCTCTGGGCTCCACAGAGGACGCTCTTCAATGCCTGAAGAAGGCTGAAGAGGCCATTCGCCAAAGCAGTCCAGACGACGTGGAGCTAAGTCTGGTGGTCCACTATGGGAACCTGGCCTGGGTGCACTGTCACCAAGGGGAGCTGACAGAGAGCCAGACCTATGTGGAGAAGGTGGGCAGACTACTGCGGGACAACCCCTGCCCAGGTGTAGTGTGGGGTGAAAAGGCCTGGACATTGAATAAGTTCGATGTAAGCAAGAGGAAGGAAGCGCTAGATTACTTCCAGATGGCCTTAAATGGGGACCCTGAGAACAAGGTGCTGCGCTGCGGTTACGCCATGGCATTTAATACATCTGTTGATAGGAAAAATATTACCCCGAAGCTGAGATCAGAGATGTTGGAGCAGCTATGTATTGCTAGAGAATTGGATCCAGAAGATGTGTACATCACAGTGATGTACCTGGAGAGGCTTGCAGAGAGTGGCCAGGTTGAGGAAGCACTTAAACTTGCAGAGGAAGTGACAGAGAAGCCTATGGACAGCTTTGGTGGATTTGGACTCTTACTAACATTTTACAGAGATCACGTCTCTCATGATTCAAGCATTGACCTGGCAAGAAGGACCCTGGAGAGACACCCTGATTCACGCCAGCTGAAGAGGCATCTTGGGAAGTGTTACAAATGGAAGATTTTCTCTCCAGAAGAGAAAAGGAACCCAATGAGGCATATTCTGATTGAAAATGCAGTCAAACTTTATGAAGAGTTGGTTGCACTCTACCCAAAATCCCTTGCAGCAAAACTGGAACTGTCTGCCATGTACAAAGAATCTGGCAGCGTTGATAGAGCAGATAAGATATTTGAGGACCTGTTTCTTGATAGAGAAGGAATGGAACCACAGGATTTACAAAAATTCTACAACTGGTATGCCAAACATCTGTTTTATGCCAAACAAAATACTTACAGGTCAATTGATTTCCACAAGAAGGCAGCAGAGATTATGCTACCCACTCGCCAACATGACAGCAGTATTCGTGTTTTGTTGTCCACTGTCCATAATAGAGGACACAGAGCTGAGGAAATTGTGGACTTTCTGGATGGCCTTGATGGAGAAGGTGATGTCGGCCAGTTCTATACCTTTTTTCCAATTAAGTGTTGAAATATCCAGAACTACCTGCCGAATCGTTCAAATTTACATCGCCTGTTTATGATTGATTAATGTGGAAAATATATTCACTATAACACTAGTACAAATGTTGGTCAATCTAGGACAAATCTTGATTTATGAGAAATATCTGCGCTCAATTTTGCTACTGGGATTGCTGAGAGACGCATGATCATCAATACTAACACTTGAAAGTAAATTCAAGGCTGATAGTAGTCTTATATATATGCAGGCCTAACATGACAAACTTCTGTCTGTAAAAGTTTACTGTGGACTAATGTACTGTAGACAAACAAATATGTTATTTTTCATTATTGCATTATAGAGTAGAGAGGCCCTGTATGTCCTAACAGACTGACTATCCAGAGTGATAGGATCTTACTGATTTTATTTTCTTCACACTGGTGTCACGATCGTCTGAGGAAAAGGACCAAGGCGCAGCGTTGAATGTGAACATATTTATTAAATTTGATGATCACACGATCAAAACAACAAAAGGACGACGTGATAGTCACTGGTCATACACTAACCAAATACGAACAAAATCCCACAACCCGAAAGAAAAACAGATAGATTAAATATGGCTCCCAATCAGAGACAAACAGCCGACAGCTGACACTCGTTTGCCTCTGATTGGGAGTCACACCGGCAAACATAGAAAATAAACCACCTAGAACACCCACCAGAGAAACAGAAAACATAGAATGAACACACCCTGGCTCAACATATTGAGTCCCCGAGCCAGGGTGTGACAGTACCCCCCCCTAAAGGCGCGGACTGCGACCGCGCCTAAATACGAGCGAAAACAGGGGAGGGCTGGGTGGGCATTCCTCGGCGGCGGCTCCGGCTCTGGGCTAGATCCCCACTTCCTCTCCAACCCCCCAAGGTACCCCTGGTCCTGTCTAGCCCCGCTGGCCGGAGCCGGACTGACGACACGCGCCCCTGGCCTGGTGCGTGGAACAGGAACGGATCGGACCGGGCTGACGATACACACCCCTGGCTTGGTGCGTGGAGCAGGAATGGACCGGAATGGGCTGGCGACGCGCACCACAGACTTGGTGCGGAGAGCAGGAACGAGCCGGACAGGGCTGACGACTCGCATCCCTGGCTTGGTGCGAGTAGCAGGAACGGGCTGGACCAGGCTGCCGACTCGTACCCCTGGCTTGGTGCGAGTAGCAGGAACGGGCTGAACCAGGCTGACGACTCGCACCCCTGGCTTGATGCGAGTGGCAGGAACAGGCCGGGTCGGGCTGGCGACGCACACCGTAGGCTCTGTGCGTGGAGCAGGAACAGGCCGGGCTGGGCTGGCGACGCACACCGTAGGCTTTGTGCGTAGAGCAAGGACAGGCAGGGCTGGGCTGGTGACGCGCACCACAGACTCGGTGCGGAGCGCAGGAACGGGCCGGGCTGGGCTGTCGACGCACACCGTAGGTTTGGTGCGGGGAGCAGGAATAGACCGGACCGTACTGGGCACACACACCACTGGCTCCACACCGGGATCTGGAACAGGCCGGACCGGACTGGCAACACCCGCCAGTACCTCTCGCCGTGCCTCTACACCTTCCATCTCCTCTTCTACCAGTAGCCCCCGTAACCTGGCGGCCTCCTCTGCAACCCCGCTGGACCGCTCCATAGCGGCCTCCTGCTGCCCCGATGTCGTGAGCCCCCCCCTAAAAATTTTCTGGGGGTCTCTCCAGGCCTCCAACATTCTCTCCCACCTTTCGCTCCTCTGTCTCCAACCCTCCTCACTCAACTCCTCAATGGGCTTGACCCAGTCGAAGCTGCCACGGAGATCATTTGGCGATGGCCCTTGGACACGCTGCTTGGTCTGGTCTTGGTGGGATTTTCTGTCACGATCGTCTGAGGAAAAGGACCAAGGCGCAGCGTTGAATGTGAACATATTTATTAAATTTGATGATCACACGATCAAAACAACAAAAGGACGACGTGATAGTCACTGGTCATACACTAACCAAATACGAACAAAATCCCACAACCCGAAAGAAAAACAGATAGATTAAATATGGCTCCCAATCAGAGACAAACAGCCGACAGCTGACACTCGTTTGCCTCTGATTGGGAGTCACACCGGCAAACATAGAAAATAAACCACCTAGAACACCCACCAGAGAAACAGAAAACATAGAATGAACACACCCTGGCTCAACATATTGAGTCCCCGAGCCAGGGTGTGACAACTGGGCACAATATATTCTGTTTCTGGAAAATGTATTTAATGTGTAATATTATACTGTCAAATATCTTGTAAGTTCTTGTGAAAATAAAGGTTAACTTCTATTCTATTCTGTTAAAATATCATTAATTAAATAAATACAGTAACAGCAAACAATACCAAGTTATTTTATAGTACACACCACTATCCCAGTAGGTTACTAGAATTTCTTAATGCATAGCTGTGGATATCTAGTTCAAATTGTACGACCAAATACATTGACTATCATCAGCTATGGTCTGAGTTTGATTGATTAAGGCTCTGAAGGTCAAGCATACGGTACAAGGTCAGGGTACACAGCCAGAGACAGAGAACACCACAAATACAGCAAAGAATATGTCAGTGGAAAGCAATGGGGAATTTTACATTTATTTTTACATTTAAGTCATTTAGCAGACGCTCTTATCCAGAGCGACTTACAGTTAGTGAGTGTATACATTATTTTTATTTATTTTTATTTTTCATACTGGCCCACCCGTTGCAATCGAACCCACTGAGCTACATCCCTGCCGGGCATTCCCTCCCCTACCCTGGACGATGCTGGGCCAATTGTGCGCCGCCCCATGGGAATGAAGGGTGACTAGTGTCAGTTGACATCACAATACATCACCTTCTCAGAAGTTGCTCCAGAAATCATAGTATCATTGCTGCTGAGAAAGATTGGCCAACATATTGCCATTACTGTGCAGTATTTCACAAATACTTAAAGTTCTAAAGTACATGACATTATTGAAATACACATTACACTACACACCTACTGAGCTCCTTGATTTTGTACAGTAGGCTCCCCCGTTCAGTTTTCGTCAGACAACACTTCTTCCCTTGCAAGGGTTTGATGAAAAACAGGATTATATATATTTGTGTATAAGGTGCCACCTAGTGTTTAATGAAGCCAATCCATAACTCCCCACCGTCTCATGCATCACCACCAGTTCAGCATCCATAAATTCACTTGTGTCTCTATTTTAGTAATTGATTGACTGACATGCCGAAGGCTGGCATACAGCTTCAGAGTTTTTCCTGGTCAGGTCAAGTGGTCAGGTAACACTCCTGGCCTTAAACATAACATTCTCATGCCATCGCTCTTCTCCTATCTCTGGTGGTGTAGCTATTCATAGGAGGTGAATCCAGTGTGAGGAATAATGTGAACCCTGGGCTCGTTTATTTACATTCTGTCCTGTACTCTTCGATTGTACATCCTGTTTCTCTATTTGGTTATCTCTCCCCTAACCTAATACAGCAGGCCTAACAGAAGCCTGAAACTAGATCCCCTACATCCTGGACTTGACATGTTGGGCGAGGTTCTCTTCTGCACTGTTTAAACAATCCAGTATCTGTGGTGTAGTTAAGATGGAGTGTCACGTTTTTAACGTCCAAAAGCCGATTTGCGCCACAGGCTCTCTTTACATTTCTCCTGAAAATCTGAACATCTGGTTAGAGGACTCGGCAGAGCCACAGATTATCCATTATATTGACCAGAAACTCCATAGAGAAATAGTAATGGCGTCTTTTTGTAGGCACACTAACTCCGCCATGGTTCGTTGGACAAAGCCATAAGTGGAAATGAATGGTGTTTTTGGATAAACGCCAAAAATAAGGTCAGTGGTAAACACAGGTTTAGGAGATTTTATATGTTTTGTTCTATGAGATAATCTTCATCAGCTAATGTCACTTTTTGTGAATTTTGAAGCATTTATGTAATTTTAAAAAAGCACATAAAGGCTTCATCATTCATAAAGGTCATGTTAACTGACTTATATTATCTCACAGAACAAAACATAGAAGATCTCCTAAACTTGTGTTAACCTCAGACTTTACTTTCGGCATTTAACCCAGAACACTATTCTTTCCCCATTAATTTTCCCCATAGGAATGGCTAAACCAAAGATTATGGATATACTGACAAGATACATGTTTCTCCCCCCTAACAATGTGAGTCGTTGTCCACAAAGCGGCACGGCGAGCTGTCTACCTCCCGCCTATGCTTTCTTTGGATTGGTGGATACATCTCATTATTGTAATCCTTTTTTAAATATTTGATGAGGGTTGTTGACGTCAACTGTCTGTATTCAATGGAGAGAGATGTACACAGTGGCAGAATACCTGACCACTGTGACTGACCCAAAATTAAGGAAAGCTTTGACTATGTACAGACTCAGTGAGCATTGCCTTGTTGTTGAGAAAGGTCGCCGTAGGCAGACCTGGCTCTCAAGAGAAGACAGGCTATGTGCACACTGCCCACAAAATGATGTGGAAACTGAGCTGAATTGAATTGAAATTGAGATGCTATTCTACTAGCCTCAGACCATGAATATGCATAGCCATCTCGAGACAACTCCGATATGAGGTGTTTTTTCTCAAAGTTGCTGGGATGTCACGTACACTTGTAACAACTTCAGCATTATGAAACTCCTATTTGATCAAATAAACCTCACGTAGCAAATAAGCAATACATTTTTTTATTGACCAAATTTCGACACTCCATACAATTTATATCCATACAAAAACTCATTGCTTGGTGGGCGAAACAACAAAAAAACGTCACCTGCTGGAGGGAGATAGATTTTCCGCCAAGTTGGGTCTCTCTCTTCCTCTTCTGCTTCCTCTCTGGCTGAACAAACCAGAGGTAACTTATTTCCGGGTTTAAGGACTACAACAAAGATATTTATAACTAACCCAAGACAGGTCTTCTGTGTAGTTTACAGTGGGAGCAAATGAAGCATAGTGGGCAGAACAAGGAAAGAGATGGGCAAAGTCAAGC